ATCTTTGACTATTTTGCAGGAGGATATATTTAGAGAAGTATTTTTGTATACACTTTCATGCCAGAAACACATTATTTGCATTCTGCACACAGGGGGACCTTTTTTCCCCCCTGCATCTAACTTAAAACTCCCAGCCAAAAGCTTTGAGAAATTTTTTAGCTGTTCTCACTAACTAAAAAATCAACTAAGTTGAACTGTAGGACTCTGATGCCAGATGCCACTGTGTGTTCTATTTTGAAGGCAAATATCTCCTGGTAAAATAACATTCCTTGAAAGTTTTGCTATATGTGACTCATTACAGCTTTACATTTTATTAAATTAAGGTATTGATACGCAATCTACAAAAGTTTTCACATGAGCAACATTATAGTTTCAACATTCACCCATATTATCAAGTCCCCTCCCACCCCACTGTAGTCATTGTCAATCAGCATAGTAAGATGCTATAGAATCATTTCTTGTCATCAACGTGCTGTACTGCCTTCCCCGTGACCTACCTATACTGTGAGTGTACAGCTTTACATTTTTTAAAATCTTGGAACAAATGACTTACTACATAGGGAAAGCCTCTGAGCAAAAAAAGAAGGTCCTCAAGACCTTAACTTTAGAAACCTTCCAACAATTCATGTTGGTTCTCAGAAGATTAATCCAAGAAAAAGGTAGGCATTGTGCACACTCAAATCATTCATTCTGTAAACATGTATTGCATGCTTATTCTGCAGCCTTTCTTGGAAAACCTTGCCAGCTTGGGTAGAAACCTTTGAAAGCAGTAAGACAGTAGGGCTGGCATACACAGGTGCCTAACGTCTCATATTACAGCAGTATTAGGTGGTTGAATGGAGACCTGAGGACCCACACCCTGTGAGCTGCTGAGCTTCCCAGTTGGTTCCAGCATCACCGGAAGCCATACACATGCCCAAAAATGGGATGCCAAAATCTATAGGAATCCGGAAATCCCCAAATAGCTCCTCCGCATGGAGCTGCAGACTAGATGTGGGCTTGTCCACACAAAGTTTGTGCATAAATTTCCATTCCTGAGTGCAGGATTAGGTTTCAGGCAAGAAAGTGAAGGTCCTTGCAAGATGGCCACTTGCTTCTTGATAAAGGAAAACAAGCTGTAATCGTGATACCCTAACCCCAATTCTTACACGGGGGAGGGGGAGCCAACCTGGCCGTGGCTTTAGCTGCCAATGCTTTGAAACTTCTGTGCCTCCCGAGGGACCTAAGGGGACACCAGGACCAGAGGAAGCTGGAGGATCCAATTTGGTTGAAAGATCTAGGCCTCAGAAAAGGGGATGGAAAAATCCAAACTGACACACCTCGCAGTGGACAGGCTCCCAGTGGATCAGACAGACATGCACCTCAGGTCTAGGGCTATGTGTGTAAGGGAGGGCTGGCCTCTAGGAGTTGAGCTGGGAAAGGTACTAGTGTGCTTCTGATGAAAGGTTCCTGCTTGCTCTCCTCAGGAAAAATTATTTTATAAAGCTAAAGTGCTGCAGGCTGAGGGGAGAGAAAGATACGTGGATTTCAGCAATTCCTCCATGAATTGGACTGCTTGCCATCCCCCTTCCCTTGTAACCCAAATTATACAGCCACATTTGATTGACATCTGAGTGTGTCCTAGGACTGTGGGAAAACCACTAAATTATGTCCATAACTGGGGTCCAGACAATCTAGACACTTAAGACAAAGGGGTCGGATGGAAGCTAGAGTGTAAGGAGAGACAATAGGGGAATCTCTAAGTCACCATGAGTGTGGGCATAGTCTGGAAGTATCAGCCTCTGGAGCTTAGGAAGGAAAAATGGTGGTTCAGGACTTGGTGTGAGACTTGATTTAATATGTCCTGTTCCAGCCTCCTGAGTGCGTCTCTATGCGTAAACAGAGGGAAGATTAATTGGTTAACTTGAACTAGAGGCCCAGCAATTCTGTTGTGAAACTTCTCTCTCCAACCTCCAACAGTGGGACCCAGACAGCCTAGTGGTAGTTGGAGCCAGCGCATACTCACTTGTGAGAGCTGATTACTTCTTCCCAACTCTATTCAGTGACAGTATATTAGTAGTTTGAAATTGACAATGGTGATACTGGTAAATGCTATAAATCAAGGCTCCTGTTTATACAAGTCTCCCCCAGGGTGCTGGTTTTTAAACATTAACCAAACACACCACTGGACCCAGGAAGAAGGTCCAGAGACAGAAGCCATCAGGGAAGGTGGTGCAGTGAGTCCGTGGACAAATGCTTCAAATCCCATGAGTCAGCTTCTGTCCCTTTCCTTCTCCCCATTGTGCTACTCAGACTGAAAGCATCAGGAAACTGAAACTCCAAATGCCTTTGGTGAGGATACAAACGATAGGCTCTGGGACACATTCAGGCAGGGTATATAGATGAGATCCCATGATTCTGAATACTACTTTGTGTCCACCTAGCATTACAATGGTATGATTCCTCACATCACTAAATATTTTTATAAATAAATATATAATTATAATTATATAAATACATACAAATAATAAATATATACAAATATATATTTCCTTAATGTATTTCCCACTTCATGGAAATACTTTATTCTACTGTTAAACATAGAACATTTATTAAAACAAGTTCTGACCAATTTATTAAAGAAAAGTTTTGCATGATTTACGTTTCACCAGTCTGTTCTGGCATGCATCTAACAGTATCAGAATCACCTGGATCAATGATAGCCAACGTGCATATGTCATAGTATTGTCTACACACCATGACCAATTCAATATTATTACCACTGTAGAGATGGACTCCAGTTTTGGCCAACATGACATAATACTATATTTCAGATTTCCTCAAGAGTGGGCAGATGTTGTCAAGGACGACCTGTTTTGCTTTGCCTTGTATTAGTTTCAGACTCTGCTTGTACCTCAGCAGTACTTCCCACTTTTCACAACAAGCTAAAGCCTAGAGTTGATCGACTCTAGTAACTTTTTCATCTTCTTTGTGACCATCATCTTCCTGTCTTAGGTGTGGGACAGCCCCCAAGTAAGAAAAGTTGCCAAGTTGGCCAGGGAGTGAGAAAGCAAAACATTTTAGGTTGTTTCTGTTTGTGGGTCTTTGTTGTTATTTATTACCATTAGAGTAAGTAATGCATTTTAGCTAACTCCTGGTCTTCAATATATTGAAGGCTCTGTGTGGGCAGGTAGGTATGGAAGTTACTTAGGAACTAACTTTGAGGCCTGGGAGTTCCTTTTCAGAGGGCTGGTGACCCTAGGACTGTACAGATTACATAAAATAATGTGATAAACACTTCTGTGCTTACATTAGTGTCTGCATTTTTTAGTACTTCCCTAGAATGGGTTCTTGGAGCATTACTGCGTATTATAAAAGCATTTTTGTTTGTGTGGATGTTAATACCTCCAAATTGCTCTTCCCAACAGGACGTACCAACTTACACTCATACCAGTAAAATATATGCAAGTTTCACCACAATCTTGCCAATATTTTCTTATTTGAATGGTAGATAATGTGATCAGTGAAATATGGTATCTCATTGATTTATTTTCCTTCCTCAGAGTGGAAGAGGAAGATTTTCATGAGATGGCTCCTCTGGATATTTGCTCCCCAAAGCTCTTGCTTCCACCTGTGCCTGTCCCCCACCCATTTGGATGGGTTGGGGGCGAGAGGCGGTACAGGGCGAGGTGGGGTAGAATTCTGCAAGCTCTGACGGACTGAGGAGCCTGAGTCCCTGGGTCAGACACTGCCCCCAAGCAGGCTCCTCAGCAGTGTTGAGGCCAGAGGCCCCAGTCAGTCTGCACCAGGACAATGACCTCCCAGGCTCCCTGCTCCCTAAGACACTATGGGTCCCTTCCTGGAATACTTTGAGCAGGGTGTGCCTGGGAGAGAGAGAACTCTTCCATTCAAGGCTGTTTTACTGGACCCACCAGGCCCTGACAGATAGTTGGTGGCTTTTCTTCCCAAAAACTGTTTGACATATATGACAAGGGTTTTGTACCTTGCATTTTTGGAGACAAAGCTTTAGTCAACTCTTGTCTCTCCCCCACCACCATGTGGTCCCCAAGGCCCCACCCTGTCCCAGACCTGTGGCACACATGGGCTTCCAGGAGCACCCCTTTGGCGTCCCACCCAAGACCCTGAACGCAGATGCTGCAAAAAAGAATCTTGCCATCTCTTGGTGACTGCTTGTGGCGGTGGCAGCTGAGGCTCACCCACCCACGGGCTTAGCCTGAGGCCTGCTTCCGGCCTGGTCTGCCTGCGCACAGTGACCAGGCACAAGGACCACTCCCCAACCAGCCCTGGCTTCTGGCACTAGGCGCCTTCTCCACCAGCCAGGTGGGGGCCCGTGAAACCGGCGCTCAGCCACATCCCCTGAGTGGGCTGGAAATCGTGGGGTCACGCAAGGTCCTGGGGCCGCATCTGCGTGAGACGCCCAAGGCTGAACTCGTCCGGCCCAGCGTCTGAAACGGTGGCGGTGCTGGGAAGTAAGATGGGGCAGGATGTGGGAAGCATTTGTCAACTGCTCCTGTATCTGCAGTCGGGACTTGGCGAGTCGCCTGCAGCGCAACCCGCGGGAAACCAGGAGCAGCCCGACGGTCCGGCCGCACAGCGGAGCCGGGGCTCTCTCTGCCGCGCCGCTGCGGGCCGCTCCTGCCGCGCCGCTGCGGGCCGCTCCGTCCACGGGGCCCGTTCCAAGCTGCGCGCCCGCAATCCCGGCCCAGCCTCCGCGGCCCTCCAGGCTCCCGGCGAAGCGCGGACACCGCGGATCCGCCGCCGCCACTCCCCCCACATTCCAGAGGCCGCAGCGCCGTCTCCTTCCTCGCATTCCTGCCCCCACAAAGGAGTCCCTCCGTCCCCCGCGCGGCTGCGGGGAGGAGGGGGCGCGGCCCGGCGCCTCCGAGCGCACATTCCTCCGCCGCGCGCGCCACCGACCGGAGCGCCACGGCCCCCGGACCGCGCGTAGCCGGCGGAGCGACCCCGGCCCGGCGCCGGCCCCGCCCCGCCCCGCGCCCAGGGGTCCCGGGGCGGGCTCCGGGCTTCGGGCGGACGATGCGGCGGCGCGGCCGGAGCGGCGGCGGGAAGCGGAGGCGGAGGTGACGCGCCAGGGCCGGCGGGCCCGGCCATGCAGCGCTCCCGGGCGGCCGCGGACGAGGCGGCCCTGCTCCTGGCCGGGCTGGCCCTGCGGGAGCTGGAGCCGGACGGCGACTCTCTGGGCCGGGGTCGGCGGGTGCCGCGGCCCGGGCTCGGAGACGAGGCGGCGCAGGCGCTGGGCCGCAGAGGGAAGGGCGGCGGCGGCCCCGAGGCCGGGGCGGACGGACTGAGCCGTGGGGAGCGAGGCCCTCGGCGCGCGGCGGCCCCCGAGCTCAGCGCGCAGCCTGCGGGCAGCCCGCGGGCCAGCCTGGCGGGCTCCGACGGCGGCGGCGGCGGCGGCAGCGCCCGTTCCAGCGGCATCAGTCTGGGCTACGACCAGCGCCACGGCAGCCCGCGCTCCGGCCGCTCGGACCCGCGTCCCGGCCCCGGGCCGCCGTCGGTGGGCAGCGCCCGCTCCAGCGTGTCCAGTCTCGGCTCCCGCGGCTCGGCCGGCGCCTATGGCGACCTGCTCCTGCCCGGCGCCTGCCCCGCGCCGGCGCGCTCCCCGGAGCCTGCCGGGCCGGCCCCCTTCCCTCTGCCTTCGCTGCAGCTGCCCCCGGGCCGGGAGGGCAGCCCGAGCGCGGCCGAGCGGCGGCTGGAGGCGCTCACCCGAGAGCTGGAGCGGGCGCTGGAGGCGCGCACGGCGCGGGACTACTTCGGTGAGCAGCTCGCCGCGCCCTCCGCTCCCGGCCCCCCGCCTCCCGTCAGCCTCGTCCCGGGTCGGGGTCGGCACCGGGGGGAGAAAAGCGTGTCTCCCGTGGGGCTGGGAAGCCGACGACGTTTGTCTCGCGGAGGGTGTGTGAGTGAGAACCGCCAGGTTTGGGTTTTATTCGGAACAGCGGCTTCGCTTCTGCTTCCCGGCCGAAGAAGGGGTTCTGGCAGAGAGTTGCCGCACTGTTCTTAACTTAGGAAGAAAGCCCTGTTACAGGCAGAATAAACCATTTTCGGAGAATTTCTTAGCCCTTGGCACTTGTCTCTGCTCACCAGACTCGATGCTTTGTGATGAGCCTGTCAGCCGAAGCTGCGGTAGGGGCCGCGGCATCCCGGTGTTCTCCCCAGCAGTGTGGGAAGTGAGCCGTGTACCACCGGACCCCACTTGACCTCAGGCTTTGGTAATGCTAGTGGCTGGAGGTGCGGTGTGAGAGAGGCAAAGGCCACCCTGACGGGAAGGCGGGAAGGGGACCCAGCTGGTCACACTGGGCTGCCTTCGCTCTGGGCTGGGCTGTGTGTGTATTTGGATGTTCCCAAAGGGGATCCTGCTGCCCAGCATTTGCAAAGCCCACCAGTTTCTGATAACCTCCGTTTCCCAATCTGCTCCTGGCCCCCTGATCCCCAGGCTCCTGGATAGTTAACTCCTAGGACTGACGTTCTGAGGGGTGGCTTGAGGAGGGGCTTCCCTCACTTCCTTAACTGATAACCAGGAAGGCCGAGGCACCTGGCTTGGTGGGTGGGGTGGTGGTGGTTATCATGCTTGGGAGGGAGGCTACCTTTCATGCGTTCATTCCAGCTGGCAGCTCAGGACCTCCCCAAACTGGCTCTTGAGAGAGGTGGAGGCTGTATGTGACATACAAATGGGGGCATTGCAGGCAGAGGGAAGAATGTGGGCCAAAGGAGGCAAGTAAGGATGTTCTGTCCCACTTTGCTTCCAGGGGTTACAGCTCAGGAGGGGTCAGGTGGTCCGAGTGTTGGGGCCAGAGGGTGGGCTTGCCTTTTCGAGGGAGCACACTGGAGGATTTCTGGCTCATCAGGGTGAGATTGTGTGGTTTGCTAGAGCTTGTTTGCTGTCACAAGAGGCAGGAGACAAGTTAGGAAGCTGTTGCCTCTTGTGCTAGGCAGGTGCCAGGAGCAGAAGCTGGGGCTGTCTTCTGAAGAGAACGACTTTCAATGCTCTGTCCCGGAAGACAGCCCCCTTTCCCCAGCCCCCCACACTGTAGGGCCTGGGCAGGGGTGTATTCTGTGGGCCACCACAGCTACTCATGAATCTGTGTGTGAGGCAGAGGTGGCCACACCTACAAGTGAAGGGACTGATGCTATGAGACTACAGGGGACAGTGGGTCATCCCTTCCCAAGGGAGCTGCCACTCAGCTCTGGCCCCCTGAAGTCATGTGGAGGTGGGAGGTGAGTAGTGATAGATCTTCGTTTTTTTCCAAGAGAAACCAGATCTAGATAAACATTTCCTGATTTTTAAGAATATAGGCAGCTATTTAAATGAATTAATATCTTACTGCTGATATTTGACCTATTGGAGCTATAAGAGTGGCAATTTCATACAATTCAACCTGAATAATACAAAATTTTGCAAATGGAAGCCTGCAGGTAGCATGAGCTCAAGTGATTTCTGATAAGCCTCATCTCAGAATGTGTTTCCTCCTCTCTGTGCCGCCTCTTCTTCGACTTGGCCCAGGCACCAGCTGACTCCCTGGCCCCTCTCTGCCATTCATTGACATCTTTGGAACTTTCCTGTCTCTCCTCACCAAGTTCCGCAGCCATTAGCCAGCCAACAGCCTCAGGCTTCCGGAACCTCTTTAACTTCGGTGACCCCTCAGCCTTCTCTTCAGCCACCCACT